CATCAGTCTACCGCTCAGCGAAACAATCATGTCAAACAGGGCCGTGCGATTACGCCTAAACGCCTGAATCACGTCCGATTTCTACATGTGCCGGAGAAAGGTCAAAAAGGGACACAGAAAGTTCACACTCACTACATGGCTAGGGCGCACGGGTGGCCATCTGTGATCAACCGGGACAAAGGAACAACCGCCCGAGAACCGGTGTGGGCATGGAGCAAACACACCGGTTGGTTGACAGTGGATCGACCATCAAATACGGTCACAGGCGAATCATATATATATATAAGTTTGTAATTGCGCGTGTTCTTGTTTCTGACTATAGCCCAGTAGCGTCAGGGAAGGTGAAGAGACACAACTGTAGCTACAAAACTACCGCTAACATTCATCCACTTCAAGATAATCGGTTTCCGTCACGTTGAGGTACTGTTTTTAAAAAACTGCTCCCAAATTAGAATTTTTTTGGTCACTTTAACACTCACCCATACGAAGAAGTTACAGAAAAACGAAATGTCCAACGATAGTTACACCTATGAAGCAGTCACCTCAGACACATTACACTTTCCAAGAGCTTATTTTCATTCTTGGACTACTGATCGTCATGAAGGCGTGGTCGAACCGTTGCAGTTTAAACATGGTTGCAGTTGCACATGTGAGGCAGAGGCAAAAGTGCATGCCTACTGCCTCAAAAAAACTTGCAAGTTGTTGAGGATAACACACCAGACTTGTGGGGCCGCTCAGTTGCGTGCACTTTGGTGTTAAATTCAACCGATTTGAGATGAACTGATAACCGTTACTGACGTCGGGTTCCCTAACAGTATGAGGCCATGGCTGTGGAAGGCGTGAATGGAGATGAACAGTTTGGACACCAGAATTAATGTACATAATGGACAGAGAAGAACCCACCAGTTTCGTAGTGAGAGAGGACCCAGGAATTAACGTTCTCCGGGCGGGTGAGACCGGGAAGCATCATAAAAATCATTGGATATGGGATCGGGACGGGCCGGAAGTCCAGCAAAACATCGAGAGATGCAAGTTTGTTGGAAACAGTAACATCGCTATGCTTCTACCTGTTCAAAGCATTCACTGGGATATCTTTTTCGTACGATATGCAGCATCGTTGCTTGTTAAACGAGCGATTTTGGAGCACCTCTGGTACTGATTCTTCCTGTGAATCAATGGCGGGCATCGGAAATGTTTCCTATTTTTATGGCTAACAACGAGTAGCGTTACCTGGGCTAGTATACTACATGGTTCCTTTGCTTCTTAACCATCCGTTCGCTGATGTTTGCTTCCGACCATAGTTTGCTTACACCCTAGTTAATAACGTCGAGATTTGTTGCCCATCGGTCTTTGCTTCTGACCCCGCCTATATTTGCGTTTGTGCTCCGACGAAACAACACGTTGCCCTCGGGTCGAACTCGAGGCTCTTTGTACGGCAGACGTGCGCGCTATCAATTACACGTACTCGACTTTGTCGGTAGCTTTACTTTTGCGGTATCTTTGTCTTGCACCTTACCCAATGAACTTCGTTTCAAACGGGCCTAAGCGCGCACATGCTGTTGGCCGTCGCATGTGCTGCATCGTTGCACTGCCAGTTAAATTTTTCACGTACATTTTGTTCTCTTTAAGTTCATCTGCTACACGACATCTTTCGTTACCCCCCGAATTTACTGTCTTTTGTACCGCTATCTCCTTATGAAGCTTACCTACACTGTCAGGGATCCCTTATACAAAGTTTATTCGCCTCACTGCTCCTTTTTTGTTCCTGCCTATCGTGGTGTTATTACGAGTTTTATTCAAATTCATGGTGTTTAATGATGATTTTGTTCTTTGAATCATCTTGCAGTGCAGCGCCTGCCATCCTAATCGGGCTATCTGCACAGCCTACGGAATACGAACTACATGGTGTCCAATAGCTCCGGTCGTTTCTTGAGATCTCCAGGAATAATTAGCCTATCTTTTGCAGAGTAGTGAACTTCGTATACGAAGGGCGATGCCAGAAACACTGAGTTCAACTGGCCAGCCATGGTGTCTCCAATTACATCAGAACAATTTGATACGCAATCGGAACTGGTGTGTTTGGGAGCAATCACAAATCATCAGGTTCAAGAAGTTAGTTGAGGACAACGAAACTAGCTAGTGCAACAGACTTTACAATAGGTCATGATTTACAACCAGCCAAATTATTCTTTGAGAACAGTTTAATCGCGCGCCCTACGGAAAACACACCATACGGTTACTTCATCGGTTGATAATGATTTCTGTCAGTTGTCATAGGATTGGAAGAAGTCTTCGGGTAATATCAGGGTTGAATTGCGATGGTTTATCTTCAGTGTTACATTAGACAGGCTGTTCAACTCTCTGGTTCTGACAACGTATATTTGCTGTGGAGGCACGACGTGCGCCTAAAATGTTAACCATAATTTGCTGGATAACCTTAACGATAAATGGATTTCTCTCCCACCCAATATACTCTGGCGGACCCATATATTTAAATGTTAATCATCAATTGGAAAGTTGTACTGAACAAATAGGAGACGTTTTTCGCAGATTGTGGGTAAGAATTTCTCCAGTGACAAGTGCCGCAGTTGGAACAGGGACGAATACGCACATAATGTTGCCACGCCAGGAGGTAAAGATATCACAATATTGCTCGAAATTGTCATCGTCGCGAGCCTTCAAACAATTTAGACCTTCAACAATTCCATCTCAGTCTGCCAAATCACACAAACGTGTGTCGATTTGGCGGTTACAGAAAAGTATGCTTTTTACATGGTAAACTTCCTAACACCTCATCGGAGCGCAATGGCCGTCCGTTTACACTGAACTCTCGGGAACAGTTAGTCTGGAATTATGGTCCCTGATGTGGGTCCTACTGCTTTATCCCACTGTGATTCGTCATAAAGTCCACATCGCTGTGAATGTTGATTCTTATTTGGGTGAGCTCGAAATGCGCGGATAAATTGCATTCCGGCCAAGCTTCCAATAAGACTGAGCCACATCGAAGAACTGGCATTTATTAGGAATATCCAACCCGGGTGGCGATGGTTCTGTAGCGGTCACTTCCTTGTTCTTTCAACAAACAACATCTCATTTGTCTAGTACACCGTGATCACTAGATCACGCGACTTTGTTCCGCAAAAGCACAAATTACTCTACAAAACCTTTCCAATTCACAACCTAAGCCGACAAGTTAGTTTTCATTCTGTGTGCGCCGAAACCATTCTAGGTATTACATACAATGATGATTCTGTGCACCTTCCCCCCGCATTACACGCATGCACCTCCCGATTCCTTCTGGGGCCTATGTCAGACTGCTTTTTCAATATGCCAACAAAGTCGTCTAATTAGGAAGCAAGAATCACATAACCTCCTATGAGCGTGTCCAACGAGCTGCTACAAAAATGGTTGCCGGACTTCATGGATTCACGCACACACGGATCGATACACATGTTCAAGGCCTTCACCCAAGCTCCCAGGGTCGATTTCGTTCTTGTCCAGCGGCTATCATTCACCCAAAAGCCATAAATGGGGGAAGGGTGAACCACTGCTCATTCGGTTCTCAGCGCGCTACAGCAAGCTTCTCAGTGCGAAGACTTGCGTTAAAATTACCTAAATAGTGCTTGGAACTAAAATCTAGATGGAGCGTGGACGACCGTCGGAGGAAGATCATCCCACACACCAGCTAATCAAAATGAAGAGGAAGTTTTGTCTAATGAAAGTGCGCACCCTGAGCTTGTAATCTGTGGCTATGAAACGCGCCTCACGGTGCTTGACCTACTTCCCCTGTAGTATCGTCGCCTTCGAGGAGACCTAATTATTACTTATCCCTTGTTTGATCAAGGTTCGCCCAGCAGGATCCAGCGAACATAAGACAGGGAAATGGTTGGAAGCCCTTAAAGCTTGGAGCACACTCCTTAACCAGGCAAGATTTTTTATTTCGGGTAGTTGATGCGTGGTAGAACCATTCTCAGACGGTTGCTCATCTAGTCCTCCACTCAAAGCACCATTAGACGCTCTTTTTTGTGAACTTTCGCGCTTACTATCCTGCGTTGAGAACTTGAAGAGCGGCGTCACACCATTTTTTCGCCCGCGCCTTTTAGGTGAATGACGGCTGCTGAAGGTCAAGAACAAAATCGACCCGGGAAGCATGGGCAAAAGCCTCGATCCTGCGTATCAATCCGTGGATCCGTGGGCCTACTGCCACCCACTAGAAGCACACTCAAAATATTTTTTGGCGGAGCCATAGGGCTTTTGAAGTTTAATCTTTACGAGGAGTTAGTCAAATCCATTTGCACCTCTCGGTGACGCGTTAACAACATTTTGTCTAGGTGAGCGATATTCAATGGTCACCGGTTCGCAGTTTGTTACTAAGGTACATGAGGTAACACGAAACTGCAATTTGGCGTATTTAAACTTCTTCGGGGTTTATTAGGAATAAAATAGCCTCCACAGAATATCTACTGCAAATTCCACCAAGGAGAGCAGACCATTCACGTTTGTTTACTTTACACATATCAGATTTAAGAAGTGGGATGAGCTTGTTCAGCAAGCTTCGTCAGAACCAACTTTTCTACGGAGCTCAGCTTCCATTCGGTAAAACATTGTTAGACAAAAGGATGAACTGGACAGTGGCGATGCAGGGGACATCTCTGTGGATGATCCCCTCTCCCAGATATGCATAACTAGCATGTAGATAACACAGGGGCGCGAGATAGCCGTAGGTAAATGACCAACACAACAGTATCATTCTCATTAGGAATATTACGCTCTATATGTGGTGACCGCCATAAAGCGGTCACCATAATAGTGGTAGCGATTGTCACTCGCTTTGACTACGTATCGTAACTGCTGGGCCCGTGTCTTTGTGCGGCGCTGATTGTGGGGCCTCATCTATGCGCGGCAGCCTAATCTAATGGTCCACAACGACCCTTCATACCCATAACTTCACGTGTTGTCACTCAGCCCAAATACTCAATATTACTGCTACGTCCGCGTCTATGTGCTACGCAGATTATAAGACCTTACATATGCACAGTAACCTAATCCAACGACCGGCATCGGTCTCGCGTACTCATAACTATACGTAATTCCGCTTATCTTTGCTACCTACGGTAAACACCAGGACAGTATCCATCGGACGACTTGCAATACTCGTTACTGTCCTTGATGCGCCTTACTCGGCTGCTTATCGTACCTGCTAGGCCCACCCCCATTTGCGGCGCTGTTTACCGGTAACCTAATCCAACCTAATCTTTCGTACCCGTAACTGTAATGTTACTTACCCTTGCTGTTGATGAAAAACACCGGACCAGTATTTATGCGAAGAGATGAATATGAGGCCCGAACTATGCACACAAACCTAATCTATTTGCGAATGACAGACGTCATACTCATGAGTGTAGTCGATGTCGCTTGCCTTGGCCACTTATGGTAATTGTCAGGCCTGTGTCTACGTGCAACGCTGAGTGTGAAGCATCAACTATACCCGGTAGCTTAGTCTATTCACAAGCGATGGCCCGTCATGCTCATAACCGTGCTCGATGTCACCTGCTGAGGTTACTTATAGTAACTGCCTGAGCTCGTCCTGGTTGTGGAATATATCCCGAGTAATCGCCCCGTGAATAAAAAATTTGCTGATCGAAGAGCAGAAAACACTAACATAGAACCACCAACTGCATGTGATGGGGCACTCCAGAGGCAACTAGTTATGCAAGCCTCCTCGCTTTTCTTCAGAATGTGGCAGATACATTCTTAAATCAACTCATCGTACAAGCAGGCAACACCACCAGATATCTTCGACCCCATGTCTCTGTAAGATCCAAGCTAACTTAGTTGCGCACAATCTAGCAAACACTCGTCTCTCATAATCACATTTGCCCACGCCGGTTCGCATCGACCGCATGCCTATTATCCACACCCGAATATGGGTGATCATTTTTGAATTCGAGCAGTGTCGCCTCATTGAAATAGTAATTGTGACAGTTTTTGACTGTCTGTTATTTCGAGGGGCAGACTAACTCATATCAAAGTGCTTCCTAGCAGACCTTTTTGACAATTTCCCATTTTAATTCCCCAATCCGCACACAGCTGCCATATTGCCTCATTTGAATACCGGCAATAAATCACTCTGAACCCTCGATGGGCCCAAGAATATCCCAGTTGCAATGGCAACCCTAAACGGTTCATCCAAGATGTTCATGTACGGCGTCGCGATGACGGTACCGCGGCTACCAGAGCCAGTTTGGTGGCTTGCCCGTAGTCAACCATATCTCTAAAACGTCACCGACGAGCGTGTTACGTGCACCCACGAGGCAGTCTCAGTCCATTTAATTGTGCAAGCACTTGACCTTATTGTGCTATCTGTTTGTTCTGTCAACCAAACCAATAATTCATCCAATGACACTATCCGCGGCTCGGTATGTGGGTGAAGACCAAACCTTGCCTTGCGTCGGATAAAACGTGAGCTGACCATTGTGAAAAAAACTTAATAGCTGTGACGGATTCCTTGGCTTCGGCGGGACGCTTGCCGCAAAGATAGAATGTCCGCTCAGTCTTGAGTTTTTGCGAACTTAAAGGGCGTGATTATTTTCTGTGTCATTTTGAGATTATTGACGAATTCAGCACGGAAGGAAAAACGCGAAGAAACCAGCTTTTCCACAAAATTTCTCACCGTTTTCACAGGTATAATGAGCAAATCCGTTAGAACACGAATTCCGCGCCCGAGTTCGTTTAAACAACTTCTAATAAAACTACGGCCGAATGTGAAAATTTTAAGGACCTGAATATATACCATCAAGCATTAAATCGTTATGCTAAAGATTCCTTCATTCAGAGAATGTTTTCAGAGAAATTTTGGGTGGGCGTACAGGGTTCGGCCGGGCCCAATGGACAGCGACTAAACCCGTGACCTTGGAGTGTTAGAAATTTAAGCTCTGCAGGCAATCGGTCGGTGGATCCTTAGAAGCAGTGTGTATCTGCTGCCTTGCGACGGTGGTCGACACGGCACAGCGCAGCTCTACTATTTCGCCTTATCTAGTTCAGTTAAAGAAAGCGAGAACATTCCGGTCTTGCTAATAGTGGACCTCGAGGTAAGCTCGGAGTGGGATTGTTTTCTTTCTGAGCGATCAGCTTCCTCTCTTGATAGTTAGTGGTTTGGAGCTCATATGAGAACTCCGTTTTTCAACTACATTCGAAATGTCCTCTATATGTCCACGCTTGCACTTCAGCGAGAGTTCAGGATATCTAAGAAGGGAATGTGGATGTTCGATTGTCCATGTCTGGACCCTCAACGTATTGCCTTCGGCCCTGGGTTCCCGCGCACTGTTCACTCGACAGATGAACTGAGTGGATTTCGTTGCCATCATCTACTGCACAACACCAGTGTTCGATACTAGTGCTTCGCTTCCATACAACTCCAATTTGAAGAAAAGAGTAAAATTGGGTGGGGAAGCCGCTTAGCGCCAGCCTGCTACAAGTTTTGAGAGGTGCTTACACCGGACAGTCGTTCAGACAGTAGATAAAAGCTGACAAAACACCACTGGCCTCGATTAGTGGCCATGTCTTATGGTGTTTCCAGCCTTTCAGGGTAGCGGGTTCACACCGACCTCATCATGGAAGGCTAGTTGGACCGACAATACCCTTCTACCGGGCCAAGTGCTAACCACCACTCTGGGCGTTGGGCACGGAAAACACCCTTTCGGGCGAACGCAATACATAGCCAAACCGCTACAGTTGCGAAGGTAGGCATCCTCGTAGAACATCGGTTTGCGTACGGGGGCTTTTGAAGACTTTTCTTCGTTTACTCAGGTGCCCGAAAGTCTGTGTGAGGAGTTTTCATTTCTCTTTCTCGGCCGTTCCATCTCTGTCCACAGACTAACGATCCTCCCAACACCTGTATTCTGAGATAACAAGGACTGGGATCCACCTAATTGAACTGGGCGATGTCAGCAGTGGGAGTGGCATAATCTATGTCAGTCGTGATGCAACCAGAGCCATCGTGGCCTCTTAGTAAGGACCGGTACGTTAATAACTTTAGTCTTACGATTAAGTGAGACGTCCCACTTCAATGTGAACTTTGCTCTCCACGTGTACATATGCATATTATAACGGTTCGGACTTCATCACACCTGTTTTTAGCCTAAGTGCCACCGATTTAAGTTTGTAGTTGAGGCGGTAGTTGAGTGCTATGTTTCGTTGCTGCCAATGATGATGGTGAAAACAGTGAATGTTCTCCCGTCTATTCCTAATGCAAAAGGAGTGTTCACAAGTAAGGTGGTGGTGTAAAACAGCATGGTAGCTCGAAAAAGTGGTTTCCTCTAGGATCTCATCTTGAGATCCTTCGTCCTCAATTTCCGTTTTTCGTCCAGTGAATGGAGTGCGCTTGTTCGTTCACAGAGTCATGAACTGAGTACGACTTCTGATATGAGTAGGTTCAGCGTGGGGCTGGAAAAAAGGGAATCCCAGTGTGCTAAGACGTGTGGTAACGTATCGTTCGTGATAGCGTGGAACTTCATCTTATACTTGAAGGCTGGTAGACCGTACATGCTAATGAATGATGCCCAAAAGTGTCGGTGATAATAAAGTTGACTTGAAAGTAGCGACAAGCAGTGGGCAGCCGGAATCGAATGTTACAAGCAAGCTTATAAATGGTGGCGAGACCACAGAGACGGAAGTGAAGTCGAGCGCCGTATGCAAATACAGAACGTTGACGCGGCTTAACAAATGGCTCGAAGTGAAGAGCTGCTCAAAGGCAGGAAATCTTCATCATGGAAACTAAGTGGTCAGTAGGTCACCACATAGCCCTTCGAGAAGGCTGACGGCTGTAAACTCAACCTTACGTAGTACTCGACCTGGCGAGGCGGCACAGCACGTAACGTTATAAAAGCGGAAGTGGAATAGCGGCCGGAAAACGCGGATCCGCTCACGTTATATTCAATTTACAGATCCATCCTTTGTTCTTAATCACGCTTTGATGTTGTACTTGACACCCAATACAGTGGCCAGGGGTTGCACGATGGACTGCATAGCTAGATAGCTAGAGAAAGCATTATAGTGAAGAGACGAGAAGCCGGATGGCCACTCACTTTTGACTACGCGGATGAAGTTGGAGTGGCCATTTTCTACGCCATATGACCCCATGTGGATCCATTCCCACGAAAACAACATGACACTGTTTAGGGGCTGTCGACCAAATGTAATCGGGTCAGGTTCTCATGAAAATGAACTGGTCAAGTGGACGTTTAATTTGACTAAAAAACGAGGAGGAATAACCAAATCCAAGGAACAAAGTGATCAAAACCTACAGGTACCGGCGTCAACCAGTCATCATTCGAAGGATCCAGGGCATGAGTCTGTCGGTGGCGTCGTGGTGGGCGTCCGTGTAGGTAAATATTGAAGACGAAAGTCAAAAGAACGCACAGCTTTAGAACGTTACAGAGGTCTGTGGCAATCTTTGAGCATTCTTGAAATGATATTTTTGGTTCCGCTGCGTACTAAAACAATTCTATGCACAGTACGCAGCAGTGTACTAAGCCGGTGCGATACCAGATGTCCTCTGAGCCTTTGAAACAATTTTAGTTTGTCGGGCGGTAGCCAGCGTTATCGAAAACGAACATGTGGCGGTTTTTCAGCATAATTAATTGGTGGATGTTGCAAGAACAAAGTTTTTGCAAAAATACATGGTATCCAGTTTGACAGAGGAATGACATTGGAAGCTGCTACATAGGTAAGATTTTTAGAATTTAGTGAGCCCTATTTTGCTAGGTGGTAGCCCATACGTGGAATGATATTTAAGGGATTGGAAGATGGACTAACTACAGTGGACAAGTTGAAGGGCGAGGAGGAACATGGATGAGGGCCAATGAGCTCAGGAAAGGGGTTTGCTAGAGTTTCCCCACCTTGAGCCTTCGACTCATACTGCTGACTCACAGGACAGTGGGTGGCAAGTTTTACTTGGGTTACTGCTTGGTTGCGGGAGACTCGCCCAGTCCGGGGGCGTAGGAAGGAAGGTGTAAATGTTTCACTGCTGATGCTACTTGGCACAGCAGTTTCGTTCGGAGCCGTTCTTGGTAAGTTTTAATCGTATTTCGACCGTAATGGATAATTCGCCAGCGGTCGCGGTTAGATGTCGCTCGATCGAATTGTAAGTTTTTTTTTATCAACCTTTTCTAACCTGTATCTCCTCAGGGAAAAGCAGCGTTACTGCTTACCTAAGCATGGACTTGCTAGTCGCCCGGAAGAAATGTCTTACTGACTTTACAGTTCTATGGTAGAAGGTAATACGACTTTTTTCTTCAGACCGCATCATATTACGATTAATCGTAGTGTAACCGCTCCCTTTTGACATCTCCGGCAAGGTTGGAGGCTTCAGTCAATTTATCCATGGGTCCATTGCAGTGTTCAAACCTGACTGCCACGCCAAGGTCGGGAGTATCGTATACCATACCGTATATCATACGGATGATCCTGTGCGTTCAGGAGCTAAGAATAGTTGATTATTGGCGCTTGCAAAAAAGGGAGAAGGTACCTGCGGAGGATGCGTTTTTGGCGTGGTTGTCTCTCTAATGAAGTGGTATGCAGGATGCTACGTTATGGACCAGCCGAACACTTTGACTCCAGCAGTTTGGGTGCGTTGTACGAAAGACATTCACAATTCAGGGCTAACTACATCAGGATCGCTATGATCTGGAGAGCGATTGTTGATATGGTTAAAATAGTCCAGTCCAGTTAGAACTCATGTCTATGAGCTAGGTTCCCATCGCATTCACGGTATTATTCAATGCACTAAACGGATGCAAATGTGCACCGATTTTACTCCTGATCGTCTTGCCAGATCTGCTGTAGTCCGAGCCTGTTAACCGATAAATTGGGAACGGCTGCCATAGAGTAACATATGACAGTTGGTAGAATCTGTCGAAAGTTCCAGACAAGTATGGATGGTGCGGGTTTACAATAATTACAATGCATGCCTGTTAGTGTGGAATGAACACTGTTTGGTGGGATTCTATCCACCACCACCTTGGTTGCATGACGAGAGAGTCCTCGAGTATAACCCAACTCATGTTTATCTAAGTAATGCACTCTAGGATATATTTCGCCAAGGTGACTTGACCACCCTCGGGGGTTCTGTTTTACAGGATCCGAATGTGATATTTAGAACGGACGCATTGACTACTTGCAGGAACTAGAGTCCTCAGGCCAATTCCAGATTAACTACTGGGTGCATGCGCTTGTTGAACTAGTCATAGGGTTCCATTGTGTTGTTCTCACTAGGCACAGGCCGGCAAAGGACGATCATAATTCCAGGAGAAGCATAGTTAAGTGGTAGATTTGCAGTCGCCACTCGGTGTACGGATAATTGGAAGAGAGCTTCAGTTGTGCGCAGATCCTCCGTTCGTGGCCAGTACAAACCTCCAATACAAACGCTCCTATTGGGTTTCTTGGAGGCCACTAACCTAATGACAAACATGTACTCAGTTGAACAATGTGGCTATCAGTAACCGAAGGAGAGCCTCAACCAAAGATTATCGTTCCTTCTGATGTACGCAGCTTGACTCTGATCATGCCATTTTGCCATTTTGTTTCAACTGATGCGATCACCTGGTCAAAAGTAGACAGGTGTCAGTTAAACAATATGCGAAGAAGACGGAACAGCGATTCACTCCCTCATTCATCGTCTTGGGCGATTGACTGGACACTTCAAGGAACAATTCAACTTGTCTCTTCCAACACAACCGCTGGAAGGATTCAGCAGCAACCAACCATCAACAGCAGAAATCCAGAGTGAGATATTGATCCCCAAGCACAACAAAGCGCCTGGCGCGAATGGTCTGTACCCCGCACTCTTCAAAGAAGGTGGTAAAGTCCTGGTGAGCAGCCTGATGATCATACTGCAGAAGATTTGGAACGAGAACAGAGTACCAGTTTTCAAAAAGGGCACGAGAACGTCATGTGTAAACCATCACGGTATCAGCATGGTATCCGTCGCGTCTGAGGTGCTCATTGGCATTATTTTGTGTAGGCTGATCGATTGTTGTGAGAGACAGACTGGCGAAAATCATGCTGGGTTCCGTCCTGACCGAGATTGCAT